ATTTATAGTTTTTGGAAATGTAATTGCTTCTCTAATGTTTGTATTTTAACTTTTCACTTGTATCCTGGTGGTGGTGTCCACAAATTTGTTGGGCTTAATTGTTTAACTATATCCCCAAGTCCCAGTGTAACCCCTATTTTTTAAAATAAATATATTTATTTGTTTCTGAGTCTTTTATTAATTTTCTTTTCATTTCCTTGAGTTTAAACAATATGGCCAGCCATGTGCAACTTTCTATAGTAGTCCTCAACTTACAACCCCAATTGAGCCCAAAATTTACATTGCTAAATGAGAAATTTGTTAAGTGAGTTTTGTCCCATTTTACAACTTTTCTTGTCACATTTGTTAAATGAATCATTGCAGTTGTTACATTAGTAACACAGTGAATCTGCCTCAAACTGATACACACAGACTTGTTATGTGCAAAAAAAAAAGGTGTAGTTTTGACTACGGGATATTACCCCACAGGCCAGTGTTCTATTCTATGCTGTTTGAGAGGTGTATGGACAACTTCAGTATGAGATCAGCACATACTAAATCTCAGTTTTATTAAGGAGATTCATATTTATTAATTCTTCCTATTAATACTAAGAAACAATTATTCATATAGTAGAGTGTAGTGGATTTTTTCAGTGTCAAAGCTGTAATAATCCACTCACAACTTCAAATGTTTTCCATAATGTTTTATTTTCTAAGGACTCATCTAGCTGCTCCTTAGTTTGGTTTTTTTTTTTTTTTTTTTTTGCAATTTTTCTTCTGCTTATAGAGAGCAAATTATTCTCCAAGCAATACACTTCCACTTCAACAGCCCTTATAATTTAGAAAGTACTTTAGGAAGGCCTGGAAGCCTAAATTTTTCCTATCAAGTATTGTTCTTAAGTTTTTCAACTAGTTCCATTTTTTCTTAGTTCCTTTCCTTGAAATCTTTGACCCCAGTTTTGTCTGTGTAAGTTTTCTCACATAAACAAACAAACAACAAACGGACAAGGAATGATGTTTGACTCCCTGAGATGGAATTGATTAGTAGAAAAGCAAGAGAGCAGAAGGAAGAGAGGCACCAAGTGAAGCTAGGCAATAAAGAACTAACTCTCCAAAAAGGAAGATTTAGCAGGGTGGTAATTCTCCTACATATGAAGTATGTTCTCCCTGAAATAGGTTTGGAAAATATGTTCTTGCTCTAGATATAATGCATCCTAACTTGTTACAGTGTAGACATGGGTTTCTGACTTGTTTTGAGTGCAGGGATAATCCTGCAATGTATCTGGTTTCAGTAGAAGTCAGCCAACAGTATGGAATAGAAATGTTCTCTCCAAAGGCTGAATTTCCTCGGGGAAAATCTATTGCAAATAATAATCTAATAATGCTTACCTGAATATTTCTATAATTCATGCATTCCTGGTATATTTACCTGAAATATGCCAGATTATGAGATTTGATAATCCTACAAATTTTTTCATGTAAAATTGTTTATTTTTTAATTTTCTATTTCATATGCAGAAGAGAAAAAAAAGAAATAAAGGAAAAAAGAAAACATATCCCAAAAGAAAAAAAGGGAATAAGAAATAATTACATATGAAAAATATATCCTGACATATTTTGGTTTTCAAACTTTAGCTGTTACAGAGAAAGGAATCTGAATCCTCCATTTAATGCAGTCTCAATAAAACCTGCTTTGGCTTCTGCAAATTTTCTCAACAAAGGATCCAACTTAAGTTTCTAGGGGCTTATTCACTCTTTGCAACAAATCCTAATTCTGGTCATTGGTAATTTTAAAGCAATGCAATGTGAAACAAAACAAAATCTCTAATACACACATCATGTAAATTTAATGTAAAAGGTGTTTTGGTTCTCATTCATCTGGATTCCAGTTCATATATAACACTGCCCTGAGCATTTGAAGAAATTATCCTCAAGGTATAGCTGAAAATGGAAGAAAAACAAAATGTGGCAAATACATAAACAAATAAGCGTATTTTCCAAATCTCGTATATCCCATTTATCCAAAGAAGACAATAAATGGTAATACCATAAATTAGTAAAATGATAAAGATAAAAAAGAAAGCATCACATCTACCTAAAACCAGTTTCATCACCACCTTGTATCATAATAAACTATCTGTAAAAGAAGAACACTGCAAGAACCTGCTAGTAACATTTAGAAGAACTTAGCCACCCTTATTGAGTACAACTCTCCAAATTCTCAGCCAGCCTGCTATCTTTCTAGCTAACAAAATCTGGAAATGAGAATCCAAACACCAATGGAAAGCAACAGTTTGGGGAAGGCTGAACTATATCATAGCTACAAAAAGTTTCTAGAAAAGCCAAATAGTAGCCAAACTCCTGTAAGAGAAATATACTGGTTTACTGAACATTTCTGGGGAGGACCTCCCACACACTGTTTTATAAGCAAGCTCAACAGTAAAAACAGCTTGCCTTCGGTTTCCTCTGTTGATAATGCAGTCAATAGGAAAAAAAGAAAATCTAACAAATTGGTCATTGCAGGTAATACCTGAAATGACAGCCATTTAAAGCTTAGTACTCAAGTCTGCAAAATTGCAAAAATGCCTTGATGTTTCGAAAGAGAGATATTTTTTAAAACCTAAAATAACACTTGTGTTTGATGAGAAACATTTTATATAATTTGCAGAATCAGAGAGGAAAATGGAAAGATGCACCAATACTGGAATGATCTTCTCATGGGTGGGGAAGGAACAAAAACAAAATGTCTCTGCAATGCATAAAAAAAAATGGCGAATAATTATTTCCTCAGTGCTCTCTTTCTATGGGTTGGGGGGCATTTTTCTTTCTCTGCTAGGAGAACGTTCAATCTATCATTAGACATCTATAACCACGAGCAGTCAGAGTCCAGAAAAGCATTGCCACTTGATTCTGTCAACTGTAAACATTAGCTCTGGAGCAAATAAAAATGGAGCCCACCTTAGTCTTAATAATTAGAGCGTGTATAATCTGGAAGCAGTCTGCCTGCATCCTGCTGCTCTGCCATCTCACTTACAAAAGTAGATGGATTTAATGCTCTCGTTCTGCCAATTAACTCTGCATTAACTGGCAAGGATCTTCTCTGTGATGGAGGATTGGGGTGGAGGCAATTCAATTTCCATGGTGACCTAACCTCTTCACCTCTTCTACTCACAGCTGTTAGCTGTGCCAAATTATCATGCCCAAGAGATCCAAGATAAATGGCTATTAGGAAAAGTGAGATGAAAAATGGCAACATTCTTAGGCATAATATTTTTCGGTAGAAACTCAACACTGGTAGAAGTTTTTCAGAACAAGAGAACCTAATAATTTCATCTAATACTTCTCTGCTAATATCACCATTTCTACTCCCTGACAAACTTGTTTCAAAACCAGTAAAACTGGATTTTTAAAATAACACCATTACCACCATAATAACAGAGCCATGAAGCTTCTGCAGCACATTATGCACAATTAAAATGTCTGACCTCACAAAACCAAGCCTCACAAATAATTTATGAAAGATTGAGAATGCTTCTGCTCATCATCAGAAAACAGCTTGCTCAAGTCACAAAGAGGATTAATACTGAGGTACAACTGCAGAGAGAAACTTCGCAGAAACTTCAGTAGTAAAATAAAAGCTTAATACAATTTCCCTTTTTCATTTGAAAGCCTTTCCTCAAAATCAAAATAAAGACCTAAATAGTAATCCATATGAATTGCAATGGATTAACATTTTCCCCAAAATACTGAGGCACACATTCTGATGACTATATAATTATCCAGAGATTTCAGGAGATATGAATCCTTTACCATTCTAAGAACAGAGGAGGTGGAACACCCCCCCACACACACACACCATTTATTCTCTCTGTGGTGGTCCTTTGTTTCTTTCCTTCTTCTTCTTCCCAATACATCTTTTGTCTTACATTCTCCTCTCTTATCGTATGCTTGACTCCTTTTGTAAATGAGCTTGCTATCACTCTCCTGATACACACAAGCTATATAGACCATTCAATTCCTTTCATTCTTGTTAGCATAAAAAAGATTGTGAAAAAGCAAGGCAATATTTCCGTAGCGGTCAACATGCATATACATTCAGCACGAAAATGGTTTTTACACATAACTGATGCCTGACTATTGGGAAGAATAATGAATGATTCTAGAATAATTTCAATAAAACAAAAATCAATGCTTTGGAGGTTTGTTAGTGCCATTTACACATAAGAAACAAATAGTTAAATTTCTCTCACCAACAAAATACAGAAAACTCCCACATTGTTATAGGATGCAGATTCCCCCATTGAGAAATATATCGGCAATTTCTAAAAATGCTCTTTTGCATTATTTACCATTGAATGTTAGATAACCAAAGGCAATTATTCCTTTGCATTAAAAAAATAATGCATGTATATTTCATTGCTCAGTAAACAGTCACAAAGAAACAAGAACAAATTCACATATATTCACACAACATGCAAAACTGTGCTCCAAATCATGCACACTCAGAGTTTAAGCATTTTTAAACTAAAATAATCACTAGGTCATTAATAACAAAAATAACCTAGCAATTATTGAAAAAGTCTGTTCCCCATGCTTGCATTGATTTCCTCTTTCCCTTTTCCAAACATGCAAAAACTAAAAGATACATACACATGAACACAGAAACACACAAGCAATGGATTAGAAAAGCAGCAGATAAAGAAAATTAAAAGCATCAGGGTTTAAAGTGCTATTCTCTTGAACATAAAAAGATTCTGAAATTGAAAAGCTGATCGCGTGCAGAAATTTGAACTCCTGATTTTCATGGCATGCAATCATCAAGGAGACAATTTCTAATTCAAATAAAAGCAATTTTGTTTAAAAACAGTAATTGGTACAAATGATTTTTTCCTTCTCCTTTTTTATTTTTTATTTTTTATTATTATTATTTTTTGCTTTTCGACTAACAGTCTCTTAAACCCTGCATGCTGCAGTGCTTAGCCTCTGGTCTGCATCGGCCGGCCGTGAGAGAAGAAGGCTACCTGAGAGGGTTCACAGTGCCATCTCATATCCATGTCTGCCTGGCTACCCTGCGTGCTTATAGCTTTTTTTCTTAATTCTTAATGGAAATCCTAGGAAATTTAGTCCATCCTCTGAAATCAATACTGGTGACAGGAGAGCTCCCTGACTCAGTGGGAGATCAAGATGATAAATTGTCTGCGCATCAGCCCGGCCTATCAGTGCTCTGCACACAGATGGAAGAGGAAAGGGGGAAAAAACACAGAGAAAGAGCTCGGTTGGTCACATGCTTGTGGAGAAGCCAATGGACAAATCGCTTCTGCAGTAGAGGATGCTGCAGTTTCTTCTGCGGATGAAAAGTGCTGTGTTTCACCATTGGGTACCACTCTAGTCAATCTGCTTTCTCTCGCTCTCTTGTTCTGAGATTTAAGGAGTAATGCTACTTATTTTCATAATACAGCCACCCTTCTCCCCCTCCCACACTCAGATTTTTTTCCTTATAATGAAACTGTAAAAATGTGATGTGGAAAAAAGGGAGGATAGAGCAATAAAGCCCCTCACTGTGATCCCACTTAAACTGTTTTGATCTATTCCCCTTCAGATGATTACTGTGTTTTGCCTCATATTAATTTGGAGCCTTAAACAGAGCAATTAGCACACAGCCCTCAATCCAGGATGCCTCGGAAAAGCCTTCTGACTGTAATTATCTTTTTTTTTTAAATACCCAGGCTAATCAATGGCATTTGCCGTGTGCATGTTACACTCTGTAATTAATGTTTTTCGAACAATGAATCTATAAAGACAATGAAGCAATATAGAGAGATACATTATAGAGAGGCTGCTGGCGCTAATGAGAGCTGCAAAGTTTTAAAAGATTCATGCTCAACTAGGCTAGGCATGTGATTTTGAAGGGGGAGAAGGAACAAAAGGAAGAAGCTCCAGCAATAGTTTTCAAAGCCTCTTGCATATAAGTAGGTCAGCAAACAGAAAGAAAAGAAGGATCTATGTAGCCCGGGGGACTTCCACAAAACTAGGGAATCAGCTAATCAGATAACCTATGAATAGAGTCAGCCGATCAAAAGACGTAGATCAACAAGGTACAGATAATGAGGTTTCTGCCACATATAGTATTTGCATTATTAGCAATTTACTGTTAACACTACCCTGCCCAGATAAAATATCAACAACTATTTCCCAAAAGAGCAAAGAACCAGCTGCAAGACATGTTTTTGCAAACAAACCACATCTGTTTTATTATTCATCCATCAGCAAATCAGAGATATGATATGATTCTTCCTCATGATATATCACATCACCTTTGTTAAAGGTAAACAAAAAATACAGGTGATCCACATTTAATAACTGCATTGGGCAGTGACTATTCACAAAAACAATTGTAATAATTTATTTTCTGACCAAAGTGCCCATTTAGGACAACAGAAGTCTTTATAACAAAAAATCTTTATAGGAAAAATATAATATAATAAAAATCTTCAGTGTGAAACTGATTAAGTTCTGGCCAGTTTCAGGTAGCAGCTACCAGCCAGGCAGGATTCTAATCAGCTAATTAAGGTCACAGAGGTGAGCTTGTTAACTTGCTATTAGTACATTTAAGGAAGTGCTCGGCTACAGGAAAAAACAGCTCTGGAAAAGATAGGTTGTTTAGTAACCATTTTACTGGAACCAATTGCAGTCACTGGATGAGGACTACCTGTAGCAAAATAGTCACTATATAGAAAAAATCAATCTGCCAGCAAAGATCTCTAGAGAATTATCAATTGTGTTGATAGCTAAATTTGAATCTTAATCTTTGTCCAGCTGTTGTAAAATCCACTACTGCCTGTAAATCTCATGAGCCCCCATGGTGTTGAGTCAAAATACTGCATTCCGATATTATAGCCAGTAAATGTTTTCAGCATTTTTAGTTTTACATTAAAATACAATTTTCTGATATGTTAATCCATCTACTCTGATATGATGCACTCATAATCTTATGGTAGGCTTACAATATTTTTACTGCACGTAATTTTCTCTTTACAAGTCAAGGATATCTCAGAACTACCTCTTTTTATTGACATATATGATACCCCGTTGAACTTAATGTGGCAGTTTGCAGAATAGGCACAAATTTGGATTCTACATTCAGAGGATAAAACCCCCATTTTCAACATTCTTGTTTTGTGTGTGTGTGTTTTTTAGTAGACTGTAATTGAGTCTTATATGGAAAGGGATGATGATAACTCCTTCCTAATAAATGTTCTGGAGGAAACAGAAATCAATTTTTGTCTGCTTTTCAATAGATACCTTCATTCACTTATTTGCCAACAATCAACAGTACAGTTCTCCAAACATAAACCAATGCACATGCATGTATGACTTCCCCTGGAAGATATATAAGTGATTGATAAATATCTTTAAATATTCCTCCTGACATAATTACAAGCACATACCATACACATAAGCATGTATTTTGTTGCCATTACTGTTACTGTTATCTTTTTGTTATGGATTTAAAAGTTTGAACAATTGAAGCAGTTGTAAAATCATCAAAAAACCCAAACAGTATTTGCAAACAGAAACCACTTCATTTCATTGAAAAAACAATGGGAAAAAATCAAATTCTATTTCCCTTCCCCCATTTTTTGGGGGGGGAGGGGGCATAAAGCAGAAACAAGCCTTAGAAAAACTCTCAATGTTTCTGGATGCTTTTCAGGTGTCATATCCCTGTTATGTTCCAAATTTTGACCTAAAGATATCCCATTTGAGCTTACAATAGTTGTGGTAAAGTTGAGATGGATTATTATAGCCATCCCTGAAATGTTCTGAATTTGAAAGAGTCACAGTCTGGTTGAACTTGAATCATCTATTCAGAGCTATTTTAACTTCAAAGCATTGTTAGGGTGTTTAGGGCAACCGATTTCAAAATTATTTTCCAACCCTTAAAACAAGAGCTTTAAATGTTTTACATTTTAAATACTTTGAACAGCCCAACTAATATATACATACACATTAGGGAAGAAAGGAGATCTATTTAGTTCACAAGCTTATGTTTGCAACATAATATATAAAGAATATAATCTTCTTTTGCTTTTAAACCTAAAATTCAACAAACTACCCGACAGATTTGAAAGAAAGTGTCATGGTTCCAACAGACAGAAACGAATAAAGCAGAACTCTGGACTTGCAAATTCCTCAAAGAACATGTTTATTAGTTACAGACTATTGGCATGATCAAGAGTGAAACCAAGTCTACATATACAAGTAACAATTTTCCAATACAAAGTTAAATGTCCACCCATAAAACTATGCAAGCAACTATGTTCCCCAATATGATTATTTGTTGGGCTTTTTATGCAACACCCAGCCTGCAGTCTCGGGAATAGTCAGTGACCTTGGTTCCCATGGGACAAAAGATTATTTTGACTAATGAAGCACCTGGGCAATCCCCTTCCCTCTGTTCTATGTGGCAACCTAGAATGAGAAGGAAAATGGCTACAGCCATGCTCATTTGTAGAGTTGACAGAAAGAGAGAGAAAGAGATGAATAAAGAAGAAAAGAAAGAAAGAAAGAAAGAAAAAGAAAGAAAGAAAGAAACCAATTCTCCCAAAATAAGACCCAACCAGAAAATAAGCCCTAGCATGGTTTTTCAGGATGTTCGCAATATAAGCCCTACCCCAAAAATAAGCCCCAGCATTGAGGTTGCCCTGGTGGGAGGGATGGGTGGGCATGGCCAGCTCAATATCGCTTGTGTCAGGGGGCACCTGTGGGGGCCCGGGCAGGCTGGGGGGGAATCCAGAAGTCTCTGGCAGAGGGGTACAGGTTCCAGGGCCTGATCCACCAGAGGAGCCTCACCAACTCTCTCAGGCCACATGGGGAAGCTCCAGGGCGGCACAGAGCTGGGAGGGAAGTCCGGCTGCCTCTCAGGGATGGGGGCTTCCTTCCCTTCCTGTGCGCTGGGGCCATTGCAGCTGAGGTTCGTTCCGCGTGTGTGTCGGAGCTGGAGGACAAGGTTGGAAGGTGTCTGAGCGTGCAGGGGCTGCATCATGGCATCACTTCCACATGGCACCATGCAGAAGTGGCAGAAGCACAAAGGGGAGGTGGCTGTAGGTGCGTCCAGCAGGCCGGATTGCATGCCTCCCCCATGCATTCTGCCTGCTGCTGGGGCCACTGCGGTGGGGTGGGGGTGGCTGCCCCTGAGCACTTGGATTGCTAACTTCAGCCTGCTAAATCAATCACCCTGGCTAGAATTGGGTGCAACAAACTAGCCACCAATCCGCTTGCTTGCTGCAAATCCAGATTGGAGCCCTTGGGCTGCTCCTTCCAGCCCATTTTGGAGCCCCACCCAATTGCTGCAGGGTTTTGTTTCCAAAGACTCTCTGCAAGGCTCCAGACAAACCGAGATTCAGGACTGAAAAAGCAGCAATGGGAGCGAAGGGCTATTCAAAGGAGGAGGAAAAATGATAAAGTGGAAGAAGCCACTCCCGAACAGATGAGGTGAGGCAGGTGGCAGGGTAAGAGTGGTGCCCCGCTGCCGCCCCTGCATGCCCGGCCCTCACCTTCCAACCTTGTCCTCCAGCTCTGCCGCACACACGGGATGAGTCTCCTACCTGCCACCCCACCCATGACGGCCCTAGCTCCCCCCCTGCGCCTCTGCCTCCGTCTGCTATTTGGAAGGCAAAAAACTAAGACATCATCTGAAAATTAGCTTTAATGGGTCTTTTGGAGCAAAAATTAATATAAGTCCTTGGCTTATTTAGGGGAAACACGATATTTCTTTTTAACTAATTTTTCTTTACTATATCGAAAAATCTGTTGAAGTAGCAATATTGTTGATAGATTCTTAAATAAACAGCCTGTGCAGGGCCTGTTAACAGTTAGTCCCTTACAGTTCGTGGTAAAGGAAAGGGCACAAATACAAATGGCACCAGTATTTTTTCTAATATCAATGTGATAAGAATTAGTGAAGGACAAAAAGTACAAGTGGCCTATTTTCTTATATTTTTGGCTGGGTTTTTGGAATGATGCCTAGTTTTGATCCACTGATGTTGTTCCAGATTAGCAACAGGCAATAATTTCTTTCATTACCCTTGGAGTTTCTATTTCAAGACAGAATTTCAACTCCCTGAAGCTGTTTTTGAAACTAGGCAAGGACTTCGTAGACAGCTGATTCTTGTTAACTCTGTGAGGTTTCACAGGTCCTCTGTGGGAGTAACTAGTCTACTTTCCAGGTCTCCTCCCTGTCCTTCCTGTAGCAACCTGCCTCTGGCCACTGTCTGCATTTGATATGAGCACCTTAGACTTTCACATCTGGGGAGTCAAAAAAGTCAATATGGAAGTCACGACCATGTAATCAAAGTCCCGTTCCTTTTTAAACCTGCATTGTGATAGCATATACCTTTCTCACAGTGGTTAGATCATAAGGAGAAGAAAATAAAATCTCTGAAATCTCTTTAAAATGCTGATTTTGGCATGTCCAAGGAATTGTCCGTTAGATATCAGTCAGCATGTCCTTGCTATTTTCGGCAATATTCATTATATCTTTGAACTGCCAAATTTGACAGGTAATCATTATACTGCAAGTTTAATTTTGTAAAACAATGCACTTTCTGTGCAAGAAGTAACAATACCCTTCATGGATTATATTATTTATTTCCATTTTTAGGTGTTACCAATAAAGCCAAACAGGTTTCACTCAGACTGGATATTACTAAATATGATATTAGATCCTTAGAGACAAATAAACCTTTGAATTTGTTTTTAGGAAGCAAAATGGTCCTTGTTCTCTTGAACAGTTCCCACAGAATGTTACAGTGTGCCTTTATTTTCAGAATACAGAGAATCACTACATATCCCTGACTTTTAAGAGACCTCTCTCCTTTCCTCTTTACACATTCATACAGAGAATTTTTCATAATATTAACCCATGCCTATGGCTCCCTTTGCACAATGGTTTTCTAGTCAAGGAATGACTATTGCCACAATTGTTATGAAATCAAACATGGAAAAGTGTAATAAAATCAACAGCAGCAAAACAACAGCAACACTTTAATAGTGCTGAAAATCTCTACAATCTGATCAATATAAACCTGGAATTTGCAATCTGGCTGTCAGTCAATGAAACTTTCTGCAAGGCTTGAACAAAGTAAACTTGTGATAAAAAT